AAATTTTAGGGCCCTTGAAGCGGGTTTTGTGCCTTGAAAAACTGAGGGGTTTTTGAAAGACTGAGTTTTGTTTTTAAAAAAGGACGGGTATAGTTTTGGGTAAACGTAAAGGTGTCTTGAAGGCGAGGTCCCTTTAAGACAAAGGTGTGTGTCTTTTTAAGGATTTAAAGTGTGTCTTGAAAGACTGTGTGGTTTTTAACATTGTAAGTGCTTGTAAACGAAGTGTGTTTTTAAAAGGGCCTTAATTGTGCCCTTTTTAAGCGTAGTGTTTTTTGAAAACCGGGTAGTGGTCTTGTAATACTGAAGGGGTGTTTTGGGAAAAGGGCCCGAGTGGGGCCTTTAAAGACTAAGGTGCTTGTAAACGGGTTTGTTTTGTAAGTTTGTAGTGTGTTTTTGTAAGACTGAGTTTTGTCTTGAAAGCCCTTTGTGTTCTTGTAAGCGTAATGTGTCTTGTAAACTGAGTGTTCTTTTTTAAGACTGTAATGTGTTTTGTTGGGAGGGTGGGTGTGTCTTGAAGGGTTTAAAGTGTGTTTTTAAACTAAGTGCGCCCTTTCAAACCTTGTAATTTGTTTTTCTTGTAAAATTACAGTTTTCTTGTAAGACTTTTAGTGTGCCCTTTTTAAGACTTAAGTGTGTCTTGTGACTTTTTAGTTTGTCTTGTAAATCTGCCGTTTTCTTGAAAAGACTCTAGTGTGTTTTGTAAAAAGGCTCCTGAAATCGCCTCGGGGTTTTTTCTTGTGCTTACTAAAAATAAAAGAATGAAAAGGAACACTACGGGAAGGGCCTTTCCGGGCCCCAGATAAGGAAAGGCCCTTTTATCAAAACCCCACTCCCCAAAAAAACTACCCAAGAATTTACCTCCCCCAAGGGCCCAACCAATCAAACCTAATATACAGAATGTTTTCGCTGCCAAAATTTAATCCTTTCGTTTTTAAAGGGAACTTAATTTGGGATTTTAGTATTCGAATCTTAAAAATTCTTTTGGGTTTTTGTCCTCAACTGGACACCACCTGAACTAGCAAATAAACAAAGCCCAAAATTTTTCAAAACAAGATTTTATTGTGTTAATTTTTCCCGCTCTATGTAGAAAAAAAAAATTTAAACACAAAGTAAAAACTTTTGCCCCAAAATTAAAATGTCCTGCAGGTTGTGTAAATTTTCCCTCCACACACTTGACCAAAAAACTCTTTTCCCAATCACCCGGTATCAACTGCCCTGATCCGATCGGGTTCTTTTGGTAAAAAAAATTAATTTTTCTCAACCTGCTCGCCCGTGACCTTGCTTGTTATCCGACATGGCCCCGGGGTAACCATCATTAAACTTAACCTTTTTTAAAACCCCCTTTTCTCAGAGTGACCTGTATTTTGGGTTTGGGGCAGAAAAAAACGAAAATAAAAGCGTTTTATAATAGACATATCGCTTATTGGAGCTTGTAAAGGTTTAAAACTATAGGTTGGGCCTATATTTTAATTTGAAAAAAACCCCCGAAATAGGTTAAAACGACTTTTGGGTGCCGACTTCCCCCAAATTTTTACAAAAGTCCAAATGGGTTTTTTTTTTGGTTTTTTTAAGCTTGTTGTTCTGTCTGCCATACTTTTTCGGCTGCCCCCCTCCCACAAACATGCCATGTGACTGGTCAGTTTGTTTGGAGAAACAAACTTGGGTTATGTGGAGAAACAAACTTACCCTGTTTTTTGGGAACCCAAACACGACTTTCATTTTTGTTTCTCTGTTCCCCTTCGTTTTTTTGAACGGTCTTTACCCTCACAGAGGGTTTTAAAAAGAGCCCTTAAGGTCCCGGGTCCCCCCTCACACAAATTTTCCTCTTTTACCTGGTAATTTTTCCCCCTTTTTTTTCCCCCTCCGAACCCGACTTTTTTTTTAAATATTTTATTAAATTTTTAAAAATTTAATTTTTCCTTTTTTTAACTTTTTAATGTTAAAATATCGGGTTTCATGGGGGGGAATTTTCTTTCATTTTTTTCCCATTTTCCTGTTTTTTCCCTTTGGGCACCCCTCTTTTCTTTGAAACCCCTTACCCTTTTCTTTTCCCTTTTTGGTTTTCTCTTTGCCCCTTTCTGGCATCTTTATTCCCCTATTTTCCCCCCTTTAAAAACCCCCCTCCTTTTTTTTAAATTTTCCCCTATGTTCCTAAAATTTTCTTTCCTTTTAACCCTCTCCCTCTCATTTTTTTGTTTCTCTCCCCTCTCTTCCCTCTTCCATATTCTCTCCCTTTTTTCAACCGCCCTTTTTCCCTCTCGTCCGCCTTTCCCCCCCCTCTTCCCCTTTTTACTTCCCATGCCCTTTCTCTTCTGGTACCCCCCTTTCTAACCTCCTTTTTTTCTTCCCCACACCCTCTCTCCCCCCCTTTTCCATTTTCCCTCTTTCCTTTTTCCCTTGCTCCCACTTCTCTTTTCTTCTTCATTTAACCTTCCTTTTTTTCCTTTTTTTTTTTTCCTTTTCCCCATTCTTTTTTCCCCTTCTCTCCTTCACCCGCTCCCCCCTTTTCCCCTTTTTCCCCCTTCTTTCACCTCTTTTCTCTTTTCATTTTGTCCTTCCACAAGCTTCGATATTCTCGGTATTCTGTGCAAAAATAGAATACCACAGAAAAAATCTTAGCGTGTAAGCGACTGAAAATTTAAGTTTGGTGTAGGAACATATGTTTAGTAGAATATTCTGCAAGTGTTTAACTTATTCTTTTCTTCACAGGTAAGTTGGGCACCACGTTTTTACTCGACTCATCACTTATGTAAGTAGAGCGTTCTCTTGACACACACACACACACACACACACAACACACACACACACACACACACACCTGGTGGCTAAAGCTCCCGCTTCACACACGGAGGGCCGGGTCGATTCCCGGCGGGTGGAAACATTTCGACAGTTTCCTACACTGGTCCTGTTCCTAGCGCAAATAGGTACCTGGGTGTTAGTCGACTGTGTGGGTGCATCCTGGTGTTGTGACTGGTGTGGTCGCATACTGGGTGTTAGTCGACGTGATGGTCGCATCCTGGGTGTTAGTGGACTGGTTGGGTGCATCCTGGGGTTGTGGACGGTGTGGGTCGCATCCTGGGGGACAAGATTAAGGACCCCAATGGAAATAAGTTAGACAGTCCTCGATGACGCACTGACTTTCTTGGGTTATCCTGGGTGGCTAACCCTCCGGGGTTAAAAATCCGAACGAAATCTTATCTTATCTCTTATCTTATCACACACACACACACACACACGCACGCACGCACCTAAGTAAGGAATCGTTCAAGACACTGTACATTATGTACATCATGCCCATATTGGAGTATGCAGCACCAGTATGGAACCCACACCTGGTCAGACACTTCAAGAAATTAGAGAAAGTGTAACGGAACTAATCCCGGAGCTAAGGGGCATGTCTTACGGCGAAAGATTAAAGGAATTCAACCTGACGACACTGGAGGATAGGTGGAATTCGAGGGAACATGATAATGACTTATAAAATACTGAGGAATTGACAAGGTGGGTAGGGACAGAATGTTTCGGAGAAGGGGCACAGGAACAGGGGGTCACAGATGTAAGTTAAACCCTCCGATAAGTCACTGTGATGTTAGGAAGTACAGCTTTAGAGTTGTCAGGAAGTGGAACAATCTGGAGAGTGAAGCAGTGGAGCCAGTATTCATACAGTTTTAAGAGGTACGCTAAAGCTCTTGGAGTAGGGAGATAGTGGACCTAGTAGCAACTAGCAAAGAGGCGGAACCAGGTGTTAAGCATCGACCCATGTAATCACAATAGGTGAGTACAAGTAGGTGAGAGTACACACACAAACACACTTGAGACCGGGAGTCCAAAAGTAATAAAAGCAGTGATGTGCAACCCACCACTGAACAGCAAGAAACCAAGACAAGAAAACGATGAGAGCAACAGAGCAATGGTGGACACGAGAGGTGAGGTAGCCTAAAGGGCCCACATGGGCAGGACACAGCTACTCGTCATGGGGGATTTCAACCACAAGGAGACTGACTGGAAAAATCTGGTGCCACATGGGGGGACAAGAAACGTGGTTCCTAACATGCGCCAACAAGACCGTTCAATTGCCTCCCAGCATACATAAGGGGGATTACAAATAGACCCCTGGCTGTCTTCAAGAAGGCACTGGACACGCACCTTAAGTCAGTACCCGACCAACCGGGCTGTGGTTCGTACGTCATATCACGTGCGGCCAGCAGTAACAGCCTGGTTGATCAGACCCTAATCCACCATGAGTCCTGGTCTCAGACCAAGCCGCGGGGGCGTTGACCCTCGAAATCCTCTCCGGGTAAATTCCAGGTAAACATGTTAAGAACACAACCAGAGAGAAATGAGAGAATGAACTAACAAAGATGGACCTCGTTTATCGCGTATTTACCTGGAGTGAAATATCATGAGGAAGGGAGAAGCCAAACTTCATAAACAGAGACCTACACAGGCATAACACAATTCCTGCAAGAAGTGCAGTGAGAAAGAGAACTAGAAGGAAATTGACATGATGGAACACATGACCACAAAGTGCAGGGTGACAGAGGAGAAGTTCGTACCGAGAGACAACAGAAACAATAGGAAGACCAGTGTGAGTCCATGGTTTATCCGAAGGTGTGGAGAGGCCAAAACCAAGTGTATTAGAGCATGGAAAATGTATAGATGACAAAGGACTCGGGTAAACAAGGATCTGAGCCGAAGAGCCAGAAACATATGTGCACGAATAATGATCCAAAACAGACCAAAATGTCGTCCATTTTCCATTTTTAAGAATTATGAAAAGTTCTGGTCGAAGTATAGCGACTGTTATACTTAAACATTGGTGGGGTCATTTACTTACTTCAGAATTCAAGTCGCATTAGAGTACTAAGCCAGAGTGGGTCTTCCAACTCATCCGGTGGTGAAGGTTCAGTCCTCCGTCCGACCAATCTCTGATAAAGTCTCTGATCAGTCAAGCAGTTGTCCAAGCATAAGAAAAATTGGAAATTATTTAGCCTACCAACCCGATCGATCATGGCGGCGCTGGCCACTCCAATGCAGGTGATCACTACGCTGCCCGAGTTGTCAGAGCACTCACACGGCCAGATGTCCTCCGCTGGGACACACAGGCCTTCTGTCGTCCTCTGCAACGACAGGAGTCTCCTTGCTTCTTGATGATGGTTGTCCTTCCTCGTCGTCAGTAGATCTCTGATCACTGGGACTGGAAACCCAGGTGTCTTGTCCTCTGTAATTGAGGAGGAGATCGTTTCAGCATTTAGTATCGCTTATAATTCTGCTGGTTTCCTTTTTCAAGGAACTGGAGCCACACACTCATTGATTGGATAAAATCACAAAGCATTTTATTCCCCAAGCACTGCATGATACCTACGGATGTACCTCTTTTATGTGAATATGATAATAATCTTCTCGGCACAATTTTCAGTGCTAGGCAGCAGTGCTAGCCAGCTAGGCCTGACTGTGTTGGGTGACTGGCCAACACAGTCAGAAAAGACACATGTGCAACAATTTGGTATGTTTTATTCCGAAACGTTTCGCCTATACAATAGTCTTCTTCAGTTGAATACAGAGGAGATAGCAAAACCAGTGGAGGTGTAATGATGTAAGTCATCATCTTTACACCTCCACTGGTTCTGCTATCACCTCTGTATTCAACAGAAGCCTACCGTGTAGGCGGAACGTATCGGAATACAGGATACCTAACTGTTTCGCATATCTCACTTTGTCTGTATGTTGCTATTGGTTACCATTATTATATTCACACAGTCAGGTGCCGTGCATTAAACATTCCCGTCGTACATATTCCTAGTGGTAGTGACGTAGTTGAATTGGTAACTTGCTTGTATTATGTCTTACTTTATAGTGATTCTGTTTTACCGCTACTCAGTAATAGTGATAAAGACACAAATGTAGATACAAACTATCAAGACGTTTCGCCTGTGGACATAATTCTTCTGTCAGTATACAGGGATGCGCTCAGTTGACAATGTTTGTATATATTCCCTTGTTATTCATCCCTCTGTATCGACTGAAGAAGCCAGTCTGTAGGTGAAGCGCCACACCAAAGGTCCTTTTTAAATCTCTCACCACTCACTTTGGGCTGATACTCAGCAATGCTACCAAATTCTCCAATTTCGAATATTATTATATTCTTGAAGAAATGCTAAACCCATAATAGTTTAGCTCCTAGGGAGAGATATGGGTGAACTGAAGCGGGAGCTTTAATTCTAGAGATAGAGACTTTTGCCAATATCAAAGCACTTACCTTTATTTCTAGTAGTAGATGCTTTCCAGTTGTCTTTAGTTAAGACAAGTGTCTATCTTCCTCACTACCACACGTCTCTAAAACGCCAGCTTCTATCATCTCTCTAGCTGACTGTACGTCTCTAAGACACAAGTGTCAATCTCCCTCTCTCTCTCTCTCTATCGCACATCTCTAAAACCCAAGTATCCATCTCTCGCTCTCTCACCCTCACCCCTCGAGATTCGGGAATTACTTGTACCTTCATCAACCTGCACGAGCAGTCTCCCCATCCCCCTATTCGGGAACTTCTTCAACACTTGATCCTCGAATACTGGGAGCCTTCTCCAACCTCCTCCGGCTTTTGCCACCGCATCTGCTGCTGCTTCTCCTTCTTCCGCTACTACTACTTCTACTGCTGTTGTTGTTATTGTTGCTTCTACTTCTGCTGTTGTTGCTGCTGCTGCTATCAGGTCTATCATTACAGCCGCTGTCACCAGCAGTACCATGTATTGCATTACCTTCATCTGCAAGATTTAAATATATGTTTACATTTATTTTCGAGGCTACTATGTATGTATATGTATACTTACATGTATGTGTGAATATACAATATCAGTAAACAGGTGATAACACAATATGCAGAACAACCACTGAGAAAAAACAGTAACCTTCCAAGTTCTTTGGTGGACTCACATTATCAAGGATAATGTGAGAGAAATTACGAATGCGCTTGGAAGTTCGCTATTTTTTTACAGTGGTTATGTGTGTGTGTGTGTGTGTGTGTGTGTGTGTGTGTGTGTGTGTGTGTGTGTGTGTGTGTGTGTGTGTGTGTGTGTGTGTGTGTGTGTGTGTGTGCATGCGTGCGTGCGTGCGCGTACGTGCATCTGTAAGCAGCTCACGTGCATTTGTGTAACTACCTGTTTGTAAGTGCTAGAACAGAGGTAAGATCAGAGTGCACCATAGTCAGTTTTAATCTGTCCTACATATTTTTTTTTTTAAGTTACCCTTTATTACATGTCGCACTTACATATACCTTCTAGTGTTCTACTATTTATGAAGAAAATTATACTATTTGTGTGGCACAGCTTTTTTCACAACAATAATAGTAATAATAATAGTCTATTTCAACAAGTACATGACACGTTTATACAGAAAGACACTTGTTATGCAGAGCATTTCTGGAAAAACTAACTTATGTTAATTTTGTCCCCAGGATGTGACCCACACCAGTCGACTAACATCAACGTACCTATTTACTGCTAGGTAAACATGTGACGGCAGGTATCTTGAAGAAACACGTCCAATGTTTCCCCAAGTACCGGGGTCGAGCCACGGACGCTCAGTGTGTGAGCTGAGTGCGTTATCAACAGAGTTACGGGACATTTTAGTTAATGTTCTTTCTCGTTTCCCTTGTTGTTAGTGCTCAGTTTATTCCTCTGAATCATTTAATGACCTTGCAGCGACTCCAGAAATCGTAATGAAGCAACTATAAAAATAAACTCAGAGAAAGATGGTTATCTTTGTGTGTGTGTGTGTGTGTGTGTGTGTGTGTGTGTGTGAGTGTGTGTGTGTGTATGTGTGTGTGTGTGTGTGTGGTGTGTGTGTGTGTATGTGTGTGTGTGTGTGTGTGCATACTTTATGTGCAAAAGCATTTCTTTAAGTGCATTTGGATGAATACATATTCGTTCGTAAATTTTTTGTAAGCACGTGTGTGTTTGAATGTATGTATTCGTGTTTGTTAGTGTCTGTTCTATTTCATTTCTGTCTTCTTTCATACGCATGTGTGAATGAACGTATTTTCCTGGAGTTTTGAACGAGTTCAAAAAACTGTTGAGCGAATATATGGATCTCGGAGAGCCATTTAAGAGGGCGGAGAGATTTTTTTTATCAGCATTAATAAGCTCAGTAAGAATCTTTAACATTTGCTTAGAATCATGTGTTAAACACGTACACACCAGAAATTAGATTAAATATTGACTATCGTGTCAAATCAGTTTAAAAACTATTTATGCAGACAATTGTTATATTAATGGTTTTGTGTAACCATTCAATTAACGATTATGCAGACGGTTCCTTATATGAAATAACAATATTGAGAATGTAAGAAAATTTCAGTAGAACGAATAACATAGATGTGTATTAAATTGACAATTAAATATTGGCTTCTTATCCAACATTGTCTGTCAGTCAACGGTCAGAGCAGATCTCAGTTTTAATTTAGTTCAACAGCAGAAAAAACATTTGCTCATTTAACTGTTAATCAAAGAAGTCCATGATTGCTTTGGACATTAATTTTACTTTTAGAAATATGTGAAATGACGGAAGTATCATTGGAATTGTTTTGCTGAGAAAATACTGATCGTATTGTTTGTCAGTAAACTTAAACTAGACCTCAGATGGGCTGTTCTAAACATCACAGGAAAGCTATGATAATTAAGATTTCGTCGAGAAATTTATTCAAGTGAATGAGGAAGTATGTAGTATTTATTTAAGGTTTTTAACACTGTTATTTTACTCCCATCACTACGCCACCACCACCTCTACTACTGCTACTGCTATTACTACTACTACTACTACTACTACAAACACCACACACACACACACACACACCACTATGGTCATTACCACTACCATCACAACATTCCACCACACTGCCACTAACGCCACATTATACCATCACAACACTACTTTTACTACTCGCCACCATACTACTACCCCCACCACTACCTCCCCACTTTACAAGTAAAGTAACACCAGCACCCACCATCTAGTACTGTCTCCAGACACTGTTCGCCTGCGTGTGTTCCTGGGTGATATTCTCTCATAGATACGACCCACCTGCTGCCACCACCGCTGACATCCATCCTCTTATTAATGATATAATTATTAGTTACTATTTGTTTATTATTAAATTTACCTGACAGTGATATGAAAAAACGCGAGGAAATTAAAACTATATATGAGTATAAAGCAAATTCCAACCACACAATAGAGCGAAAAAATAATGTGAAAGACCTGGGAGTGATCATGTCAGAGGATCTCACCTTCAAAGACCATAACATTGTATCAGTCACATCTGCTAAAAAAATACGACAGGATGGATAATGAAAACCTACAAAACTAGGGATGCCAAGCCCATGATGACACTCTTTAGGTCACTTGTTCTAACCAGGCTGGAATATTGTTGCACACTAACAGCACCTTTCAAGGCAGGTGAAACTGCTGAAATAGAAAATGTACAGAGAACCTTCACAGCACACATAACTGCGATAAAATACCTCAGTACTGGGAACGATTGAAGTTCCTCAACCTGTACTCCCTAGAACGCAGGTGGAAGAGATACATGGTTATATACACTTGGAAAATCCTAGAGGGATTAGTACCAAACTTGCACACGAAAATCACTCACTATGAAAGCAAAAGACTCGGCAGACGATGCAACATCTCCGCAGTGAAAAGCAGGGGTGCCACTAGCACGTTAAGAGTCAACACAATAAGTGTCAGGTTCCCAAGACTGTTCAACTGCCTCCCAGCATACATGAGGGAGATCACCAATAGACTAGTCCTAGCTGCCTTCAAGAAGGCGGTGGACGGCACCTAAAGTCAGTACCTGACCAGCCGAGCTGTGGTTCGTACGTCGGGTTGTGTGCGGCCAACAGTAACAACCTCGTTGATCAAGCCCTGATCCACCATAAGGCCTGGTCACAGACCGGACCGCGGGGGCGTTGACCCCCGAAACCCTCTCCAGGTATACTCCAGGTGATAAACCTGTCGGAGTAGCACAGAAGAAATGGGAGGCATTCAAATTCGATGTAATATTCAGAGGTAGAGAGAAAAAAATATCTGCAACCAAAGCTAAATATATTTTACCACATATTTACAGGTGTTCATTGCTTCTGAATCAGCTTCATTTATTTGTTTTAGTGTTTTGGCCATAAATTGCATTGTTGATTCATTTGAAGCTTCAGATAAATGTCAGTACGACATGCACACTCGACTAAATGAATACCTTGATTTCCAAGACGACAAAACTGAACAAGATAAGTTGTCTGATGCAGTTATAATAAACAGTCCACACATTCCTAGTGACATAACACAAGCACAGTGCAAAGAAACTGCTATCAGGATAATACAGAACCACGTACAAGTCATCGTGCAAAACAATGAAATCAAAGAAACACGTTTGTTAGGAAAACCAGGAAGTAAACACAGTAATAATGATCAGACTTCATTCATACGATAAAAGAAAGGACCTAATTAAATCAGCAATTACAATGAAAAATGGAGTGTACATAAATGAGTGTCTAACAAAAAAACGTCAAAACCTTCTGTTCAGGCTGAGAAAACTTAAACAGGAAAACAAAATACATCAGTGTTTCACGCGAGATGGGAAAATACTAGTAAGGAAAACATCAACAGGACAACAATATACCATCTCAAATGAACACGATTTCTCTACCTTCCTTAGAAAAGCTGACATTTCTGTAACAGATTAGATAAGTGCCCTTAATACATATATACGTGTGGTGCATATAGTGTACGTTACTATTATATTGTGCATAATTATTTTTATTATTTTCATCACTAGCTAATGCCAACTACCTCCAATACTCTATACTTCTTTCTTACTGCTATTAATTGCTCATAATTTTAAACTACAAGTCAAATCTTACTCCAAATTAATAATATTCATTATTCTTACCTGTCCATTTAATTTTGTTTATCACTACTTGTTTTTTTAGTCACTTTTCATTGTGTATGCAATTAGTGTATATTCCAATACTTTTTTGCAAGTACCAAAACTATCTTTTGCTAGCTAGTACCAACTACCTCATTTTTTTTACTTTTATTGTGCAATAAACTGCTCAATTTATTTAATATTACAAATCAGATCTTACTCCTAAACCAATATTACTTCATAGTGACCACCTGTCCATTTAACTTTGTTTACCATTACGTAATTTTAGTCCCTTATATATTTTCTCCTTTATTTTAGCTTTATATAACTACCCTAGTTTATATATTCACAATTGTTAAAATAATCAAGGTGCTATTCTCAGGTGCTAAAGTAGAATAAGTTCACAATTTTGCCATTATATTCCAAAGCTCATTATTTGATTACCACTTTATTGTTCACCACAACTTATATTAGTCCCTTTTATATTATTATTTTATACTATAATTCTAACTTTAAAGAATTACCTTTATAGTACTACCTACTATCATATTCCCAAGCTCCATTATTTGATCATCACTTTATTTGTATTAGTCCCTTTTATATTGTCTCCTTTATTTTAGCTTAAAAAAAAAACTACCTTAGCTCATTATTTTACATTTGTTAAATAATTCAGGTGCTATTTTTTAGCTTAAGACTATTTACTTTGTTTTATACTTAATTCTAACTATAGATTCACTACAAATCTTATGATTACAAGCATTGATCCTGATACCAATCTCTTATTTAATGACTTAAATGAATCAAACAGTTACTGTAATTACTACACAGCAGAACAATCAAAGGCACTTCTCAGTGCCAACAACAACATAACTATCTTTAACTACAATATCAGATCTTTAAGCAAGCATTACGATGACCTCATAGCATTACTAAATCCTTACATGCCATATGTCCATCATTACACTAACTGAAACCTGGCTAAAGCCTGATAGTACAGATGTCTATGCCATTCCTGGTTACACAGCCATCACAAACTGTAGGCCAGACCAACAAGGGGGTGGCACAGCCATATACTACTCAGACCAACTAGAATGTATCACTAATACTTGCACAAGGGATGAACATGGGGAATATATAATAGCCAAATTCAAATCCAAATACCTACAAAAACCTCTCACATTGATAAACATCTACAGAGTTCCACAGTCAACATTAGCCAATTTAGTCAAAACCTAGGAAGTATGATAACTGATGCACGCATGAACAAAGATCACTTACTACTCTCAGGTGACTTCAATATAAATCTCCTGCAAGACCAGGACCCACACGTGACTGAATTCACAAACACAGTGAGTAACTGTATGTTGCTACCAACAGTAACAAAACCTACAAGAGTTACAGAGACTAGTGTTTCCCTACTTGACCACATCTGGACCAACACCATATCCCCTTTAAAATCAGGCATAATTACAGATAATACCACAGACCACTACCCGACTTTCCTCATAACAACTCTTGGTAAATTACCCCAAGACACTACTAAAGTCACCTTCAGACTACACAATGAGGCAGCCATTAATAACTTCACAACAGCAGTAGCAAACATTGACTGGCACACTGAGCTAGAAATCTATACAGATATTGACGAATGTATTAATAATTTTCTAAAAAAGACCCAATACCTCTATAACAAGCACTGCCCTAAAAAAAACTAAACAGATGACAGCTAAGAGACTGAACAGTCCCCTGGCTAACACCCAGCATTCTCAAATCCATAAATACAAAACACAAATATGAAAAACAGTACAGAATGGGTCACATAACCAGAGACCAAACAAAACGTTACTCGTCAATCCTAACCAGCCCTGATAAGAAGGGCAAAAAAATTGTATTATGAGAACAGATTATCCAACTTTACGAGGTGATATAAAAAAGACCTGGAAAACCCTATCAGAAATTCTAGGAACAAAAAAGATATCACGAAATAGCGAAATAAAATTAGCAAAATCAGATGAACCCCAACTCCCACCAACAGAAACAGCAAACAGACTCAATGATTTCTTCTCCCACTATAGGACAAAACCTTGCCAATAAAATCCCAAGCTCAGATACCCCACCAAATGACTACCTCACCGGCAACTACCCGAACACACTGTTCCTAGCTCCGACTAACCCATACGAAGTCTCCCTTATTATCAATGCACTAAAAAACAAGGCAGGAGATTTAAGTACCTTACCACCCTTTATATACAAAAAAGTGTCACAAGTGCTATCTCCAATCATTGCAACACTCTTTAACAAATCCATTGAATCCTCCACCTTCCCTACAGTACTCAAAATAGCAAGGGTCACCCCGATCCACAAAGGAGGAGACCAAACAGAATTGAATAACTATAGGCCAATATCCAACTTACACCCTCTCTCTAAAATCTTCGAAAAATTAATTCATAAACGAATCTACTCCTACCTTATCTCCCAAAACATACTCAACCCCTGCCAATTTGGATTCAGGCCTAATAAAAATACTAATGATGCTATTATACACATGCTAGAACATATATACACTGCAATAAGAAAAAAGAAGTCCCACTGGGGATCTTCATTGACTTACGTAAAGCTTTTGATACAGTTGACCATGACTTGCTCCACGTAAAATTGTCACACTATGGTATAAGAGGGCACTCCCTCAACTACCTCAAGTCATACCTCAGCAACAGAAGCCAATATGTGTACGCAAATGGGGCAAACTCTTCTGCGCAACCAATTACAGTTGGTGTCCCACAGGGAAGTGTCCTTGGCCCTCTTCTCTTTCTCCTATACATAAATGACCTTCCAAATGCTTCGCAATTACTCAAACCCACACTATTTGCAGATGACACTACATACGTCTTCTCACTCACCCGAGCCCAGTCACACTAGCCAATACTGTAAATACCGAATTACAGAAAATATCTACCTGGATGAGGACTAACAAACTTACACTAAAAAATTGACAAAACCTACTTCATTCAGTTTGGTAACAGAGCTACAGATGTCCCTCTTAACATAATGATAAAACGGATCACCAATCACAAAGCTAACAGAGGGAAAATTCTTAGGAATCCACCTTGATAATAGACTCAAATTTCATACACATATACAACAAATTTCTAAGAAAATTTCCAAGACTGTAGGCATACTATCGAAGATACGGTACTAAAG